GTTCTTCCCCTACCCATTTCTCCAACAATCCTCCACAGGTCAACCTTGGCCTGGCTATTCCTGGACTCACCCTGCAACACTTCCACTTTCTGTCTCTGCTTTGTCCCTAACTGATCAAATAACAATATGTCCCCAACCACAAAGTTCTTCCCTAGCCCAGGCCAGGCTTTCAGGATTTCTGTTTTGAGTGGTGTTTGCTGAAGTCCTGGGAGCAGGTATCCTGGTTTGCAATGTGTGTATCTTGAGATTGCATCCTCAGCTTGGCACTCATGTCTAAATCCTCCATTGGCTCCAGAAGGACATTGGCCCATCTGTCTTCAGGGAAGCATCTTCTGTCCCTCTCCACTCTCTGAACACATTCACACATGTGTCCTCGTCCCCAGATAAGACCCATAAGGACATTCTCCATCTCTGCTTTCCACATATGCCCAACTACTTCCTGTGCAGGCTCAAGTTCCCATAAAATGGCTTTTTCCCAAAGAGGTTTTCTTTAACCTGGCTCCTGAGCCTAAATCAACTCTCATCAACATTGTTGTTCCCCTCCATTAGCATCCTCCTATTTTCCTATGTTTGTCTGGGGATGGGTCTCATACTATAGCCAAGGCTGGTCTCGAACTCACTATGTAACCCAGGCTGGTCTTACACCCTCACTACTCCTCACTGAGGTTACAGATGTGAATCACCATACCCGACTTGCATCACTCTTAACTCAGCATACTGCAAGCCACTGACTCAGCAATCAATTTTCCCTCTGGTTTATAAAGAGCTGGGTTTGAACTCACCCATCTTTTTCTTAGGTCCTCAGATACTGGTGACTGCTGGGTGGACAGGTGGGTGAGTGAATTCCTGCTTCGAGGAAGAGCCCACAATGGCAGGGGCACAGGGTCTTGGCTTCATTCCACATCTCAGACACTTACCTGTGTGAGGATCCAGTTTGAATTCCTGGGCCCCGGGTCCATGCAGAGAGTATGTGATCTGAGCATTGGTGTCCATGTCCGCATCTACGGCGGAAACTTTCAAGATGAAATGTCCAGGGGTGACATCCTCATGGACCCTGCCAGTGTAGAGAAGCTGAAGACAGAAAGGTGGACATGAGGAGTCTGAGGCAGTGACACTTGGATCCAGAAGTGGGAGAGTGAGAGAAGGAACTGGGAAGAGAGGTGACTCAAGTGAAAACAGAGGCAGAAGGAGGAGTTCAAGTTCATTTTTGAGTTCTTAGTGGATTTAAGGCCAGCCTGGGCTACATGAATTCCTGGTTGGTTGGTTGGTTTTTAAGAGACATATAAGGAAAATGGAGATTAAAAGCCAGAGACTTGACAAGATGACTCAGTGGGTAAATAGGCTTGCTAAACAATCCTAAGACCTGAATTTTGTCCCTGGATCACATATGAAGGTGAGAAAAATGGCTCCACAAAGTTGTCTTCTTCCCAACTTCCACTGCACCATAAACACAAACACAATAATAATGGGTAAAGTAATTATTTTTAAAGCTAGAAGAGGGATCTGAGGCAGTGACTCAATGGGTAAAGCACCTGTCACAAAAGCATGAGGGTCTGAGTTGAATCCCAAGAACCCACATAAAAAATGGGAGGGGTGCCCCTGCAACCTTAGCACTGGGAGGGTTAATGGAGGTAGGTGTATCCCTGAGGGTCATTGACCACCCAGCTTGGCTGAACCAATGAACTTCAAGTTCACTGAGAGACCCTGTCTCCAAAAATAAAGGTGGAAATAATTGAGGAAAGACACCCAGCATTGTTGATCTCTGGCCCTTACACATACACACACACACACACACACACACACACACACACACACACACACACCAAACAAACAACAATAACAAGTCAGAAAAGGAATGGCAGAGAATAAGTCAGAATATGGCCTACAAATGGCCACCATTGGAAAGTCAATGCCCAGGGCTGGAAGGACCCACCACAGCCAACTTAGCGGGGTCATGGGTCATTGAAGAAGAGTGATGGCTGAGGCAGGTCTGGCAGCGGGTGATGCAGAGTCTCAAGTCAAGCCCTGCAAACCTCTGTCCCTGTCTCTGTCATGATACCAGGCTGCTAAGCTCACCTCCTTGCTCATATTCCCAGGACAGACCACTGGATTTTTAAGGTCGGTAGACCTCAGTGGCCATACCACTGCCTGGGCCTTCCCCCCCTCCCCTGCAGGGCAAACAATGGCTGGGTACTGGAAAACAGCTGGAGCCCTTGAGAACATGGTGTCCCTTTGACATCCTAGTTTGCACCCATGGGGTGCAGGCAAGCATGGGCTCTGGGTATTGTATGGGTGGACATATCATGCCAAACTGGACTGTGTGGGACCCGTTTTCAGCCCTTTCTTCCCTGGCTTTGATGATGTTATGGGCCATCTAGAGAAGGCTAGGCTGAGCCTGATCTGAGCCTCTTGTAACACAGGAGAAGAGAAAGGTCCTATGATCAAATGAGAAAGACAAAAAGAAAGGAGCTGTCCTTTTGAGACCACTCAACATGTGCTCATCTGGGATCCCTGCTTACAAATGTCCCAGGCTCTCTTCTGCTGTATTTTATGTGACAGAAGAGAGGGAAGAAGGAAAAGTGAAAGGGTGTCATGCCTGCTGCATGATATGTGCATTGTGTACGCAAGTAAGTTGAAGTGTGCATGTATGCAACTACATACATGGGTTCACTTGCATAAAATGCATATGTGCATATTGGCAGATATGGTGAACAAATGTGGCAGCTATGTAGGTATGTGTACAAGAGTACATTTGTGCAGGTATTTGTCTCTGTGTGGAGGGGTTGTAGCTGACCCACTGTGCAGATGTGTATCTGTATGTATAAGTATGCACTGATGTGTGTACCATGACTGGCTAGATTTCCAGTAGACATGAATCATTCTAAGTTGAGATGTTATAAAATTAAAATGTTTACAATTTTAGAAATTCCCTTGAAAGTTAAAAATTAGTTGTTTTAAAAAATAGATTTAAAGGGAAAACTCTCTGGCTATTTTATTGCATTTATTTGTATGTGAATACATATGTGTGTATTCATGTGTGTGTCATAGCTTATGTGTACAGGTCAGAGGACAACTTTCAAGAGTTGGTTTTCTCCTTGTACCATGTGGGTCCTGGGGATAGAACTTAGATTGTCAAGCTTGGCAGCAGGAAAATGCATTGTCACTCTACCTCTGGGTTTGTGTTGCAGAAAAGTGACCTTTGTATAATGTGTAAAGAGACTGATATACAGCATGATTTCTGAAGTTTTCTGTATGGATATGGCTAGGATTGAGGAGTTGCCCAGAATGGTTCCTGCCCATGGACACCAGTCTAAGGTCTGCTTAGAAGATGCTGATGCAGGCATGGACAGGGATGGCCAATGAGGGCTTGTCCGTTTTTGTGGGGGGGGGCAGGACTTCACTGTATAGCCCTGGCTGTCCTGGAACTCACTCTGTAGAACAGGCTGGCCTTGAACTCACAGAGATCCACCTGCCTCTGCCTCCAAATGCTGGGATTAAAGGTGTATACTGCGCCGCCAGCAAGGCTTTGCCCCTATTCTCCTGTCTTCTCCCAACCTTCCTTGCCTCCACCTCCCATGCCAACGCTCCCAGGGAGGGCTCACCTGTGAGCATTGTGGGCTGTTATCATTGATGTCCAGGACGAAAACCTCCACAGGAACTGAAGTCTGGAACTTGCCATCTGATGCTGTGACTCTGAGTAGATATTTGGCTATGTGCTCTCTGTCCAGAGTCTTCTTTGAGGAGATCCTCCATTCATCCCCAACTTGATTGATGCCAAACTGACCCAGGGGGTCTCCCTCTAAAAAAGAGAGGTGCAGCTATCAGGAATTGAGAACAGGAATGAACTGGGCTCTGTGTTCTAGATGGCTGCACTCCTGACTCTTCCTTTAGGATTGCTAGGGAAGACAGAACTTTCATCCCTCAACTAGGGACCCACAATTCTACACTGAGTCTCTTTTGCAAAGTTAGGAAGCCTCTCCTGGCTTTAAAGGTCTCCTGTGAAGTGAGATGATTTCTTCAAGAAGCACCGGGACAAACGTGACTGGCAGGGAGAAGGAGGCTTCTATTTCTTGTGATTGGGAAAACATTGAGGGAAGTCAGAGGGAGGCAAATTTCAGATCTGTACAAGCAATGTCTAGGATCTGTTGAGATGCTACAGCCAATTAGGGGAAGAGTTCATTACACAGCTAAAGATACACACTAAATGGAGGGTATATCATTTCTCAACAAAGGTGTGGAAAGATGGAGTCTCCCACAGATTCTAAGATTTACCCGTGATTCTGCTCTTATAAGAACTGACTGTCTGCTGAGGGGTGGTGCCGCAAGCCTTTAATCCCAGCACTCAGGAGGCAGAGGCAGGTGAATCTCTGTGCGTTCCAGGTCAGCATGTTCTACAGAGCTACACAGAGAAACCCTGTCTCGAAAAACAAAAACAAACAAACAAACAAACAAACAAAAAACAGGAAAAAAAAGCTGTCTGTCGTCCTCCATTATTCTCTTACTCTGGGGTTTTAAGACTTTGGTGTTGTCAAGTGTTTGATGTCACAAGATCACAATGGTCTTTTTTTTCCTGTCTGTTTCAAGTGTTTCTGACTCTGTGTGTCTCGGGAAGTCTGGGGTTCTTTGTTAGAGCTTCAGATTCATCAATGCTCCCCTGAACGGCTGTCTTGGCAGAATGAACTGTGTTTATAGAACAGTGGGACATGGTGCTAGGAATTAGAAGAAAGGGACATTCTGTGTAAAGGTTCATCTCCACTGTCATCTTGGCTGGGTTTAGAGTCACCCAGGGAATGGCCCTCTGTGAGTATCTGTGAGAGCATTTCCAGAGAGGCTTAACTGGAGAGGGAAAACCCACCCTCTCCAGTGTGTGTGAGCAGTGTGAGCAGCACCAGCCTGTGGACTGTGTGGGCCTGGACTGAGTAAAAAAGAATCCAAGTGGAGCACCAACATTTGTCTCTCTGAATATGGTGTGATCAGTTGCCTCACACTTCCTGCCACTGTGGAATATATATATATCCCCTTTTAAGCCATGAACCAAATAAGCCTTTTCTTACTTTCAGCGCTTTGATCACATATTTTTGTCATAGCAATGAGGGATGTGAATAATATACTCTTGGTGAAGAACCCGCTCTCAAACTTGTCCTTGGCATGACACAATTCCACAAAGATAGGAAGTTGCCAGAATTCTTATGAGTCACAGCTGCTGGGGACCTTGGCACCCTCAGAAGACACCCAACAGTAATAAGGTGGTTTGAATGAGAATATCCCATATACTTGGAAGCTTAGTCAGGGAGTAGAAAACATTGAGGAGGATTTGGAGGTATGTCTGCATTGGAAGTCATGTGTCACTGGGGGTGGCCTTTGAGGTTTCACACTAAGTCTCCCTCTGCCTGATACCTGCAGAACAGGATGCCAAGCTCTCAGTTACTGCTTCGGTGCCATATCTGTCTGTTTCCCTCCAAAATGATCATGGACTAACCCTCTAAAACTACAAGCCAGCCCGAAATTAAATGTGTTCTTTTATAAGAGTTGCCTTGGTCATGATGTCTCTTCACAGGAAAAGAATAGTGACTAAGACAAGTAGGTATAGCATGATCCTTTGATCCCATCTCCTCACCTAAAGGAATAATGATCACCTCTTTGCAAAGTACTTTCTAATTTATAGGTGACTTTAGGAGTTTCCCACAGCTGAGTTTTCCCAGTATCCCTGCAAGGTGAGTGAGAACAGACAAGCTGAGTTTCTGAACGGGACCACTGAGATCCCAGGGGAACAAGTGACTAAAAAGTGTCACCTTCATCTCAGAGTGCCTCCTGCTAGGCTTTCTCAGTGCATGCCAATGCCTCCAATCCATGATAGGCACCCTTACCTGTGATGTAACAGGTGACCTGCCTGTTCTGCTCAGAGATGTCAGCATCCAAAGTCTTCAGAGTGGCCACAAGTTCACCAGGCTCACTGTTCTCCACCACAGAGCCTCTATAGTCTTCAGAAGCAAACCGAGGGGGGTTGTCATTCTCATCTGTGATGGATACTTCAACCAGGGCCTGAGAAGACAGCTGGATGGTCTGTCCATGATCAAAGGCCACCACATAGAAATGATAAATCTGTTGAGTTTCACAGTCAAGTTCTTTGAGTGTGGTGATCCAGCCACTCTCATTGTCAACAGCAAAGAGTTCATGGATGTTGCTACCAGGCTCCACTGACAGTCTGTAGCTCACCTGTCCATCACTCCCAGTGTCCTGGTCATTGGCAGTGACCTGAATGACCGTGGTCCCTCCTGGCATATTCTCAGTGAGGAAAGCCTTATATGGATCAGCCTCAAATACAGGCCTATTGTCATTGACATCTTCCACTTGAATATTGACAGAAACCAATGATACCAAGTCAGTATCCTCATGAGGGCAATGTGCCATCAGGTCAATCTGGTACCATTTAGTGGACTCATGGTCCATGGCCTTCCTCACCTTCAAGACTCCTGTGTCTTGGTCCAAGGAGAAGACACCATCCCTGTTGCTCTCTGGAGTAGTACCCTGAACCAGACTGTAGATGACTGGATCTTGAGCAGCTACTGCCTTCACAAACCCAATTTCAGAACCTTCTGGAAGGTCTTCAGATGCAGAGAAAGTATACAGAGGTTCAGAAAACTTGGGCAAAGGTACTTCATTAGGAACTACTTGCAGTCGTACTGGTACCAGAGAATCCCAATGAGGAGGACCACCATCCTGGGCTTTGATGTTGAAGTCAACAGCCCTGTTTTCCAGACCTACCAGGCTTTCCTTCACCTTGACCACACCAGTGGTTGGGTTGACTTCAATGATCTCTTCGGCAAGGTCCTCTATTGAATCAACTGAATAGGTGACATCTGCATTCCGACCTTCATCTGCATCATAAGCCAATACCTGGATGACAGGGGAGTCTCTGCTGACATTGGATGGGATGGACACAGTGTACCCAGATGCCTTGAATTGTGGGGCATTGTCATTTTCATCAGTGAGGATGATTTTCACTGTGCAGAAGGCCACTTTCCCCCCTCCATCCCTTGCCATAACCTTAATAGCAATCACCCTTTCAGTTGAATTTTCTCGGTCCAGTTTCTGCAGAGTGGTGATCTGACCACTGGGATTTATTAAGAACCTTTCTCCTGCTAGCTTATTGATGATGGTGTAATCCACCGTGCCATAGGGACCACTGTCTTTGTCTATGGCTAGCAGCTTCATAGACATGCTGCTGGAACTCAGGACTATACTTGTTGGCATTTGTGGTGTTGATATATACTGGCACAGTTGCTCGGAAGACCCCATCAGAAGCACCTACCCTCAAGTTGTAAGATGAGTCCAGTTGCTTTTTGCAAAGGTTGAACATAGAAATGATTCCTGATGAGCTATTGATGGAGAAATGTCGGTCCTGGTTGCCAGAAAGAATCAGGTACTCCAAACGGGAAGTATCCCCGATGTCAGGGTCAAGGGCTTGGACTTTTAGAACCAGATGGCCACAGGTTGCTAGCTCACTAACATTGGCTTCATACTGAGGTTCTCTGAACTCTGGGGGGTTGTCATTGATGTCAGACACATTGACAACCACAAGGGTTTCACCAGTGAGCGGGGGATCGCCTCTATCCATGGCCCTGACTTTCACTTGAAAGTGTTGTTGTGCTTCATAGTCCAGCTCTTGGATGGTGAACATCTCCCCCGTGCTCCCGTTGATCCGGAAGAACTTAGAAACATCTGAGCCATCCTCTACAATCTGATAGGAGACATCTTGGTTCTTTCCTGAGTCTTGGTCAGAAGCCAACAGCTGGATCACGGGAGTCTGAGCAGGTAAACCCTCAGAAACCGAAGTAGTATATACCAACTGGGAAAAGGTAGGAGGGTTGTCATTGATGTCCTCAACTAAGACTTCTACTGTGGCTTCAGAAAAGGACCCCAGAGCCGTGTCTGTAGCTCTTACTGTGAACACATGTTTATTTTTAGATTCATAGTCCAGAGGTCCTGTCACCGTAAGGACCCCAGTTTTAAAGTCTGTAGTAAACAGCATCAAAGGCTCTTCCTCAACAATGTTATAGATGAGCCTCAGTCCCTCTGGACTCCGGGCCTGTGTGTGGAGAATTGGGGTATAGAGTGCAATATTTTCAGGGACTTTGACTTTGTAGTAAGGACTCTGGAACAATGGGTTGGATTTATTTCTGACAGTGACATGTACCTCTACCTCAGTTTGGAGAGGTGGGGTACCTGCATCCCGAGCAATGACTTTGAGGTGATACTTATTCAAAGCTTGATAATCAAAGGGCTTCTTAAGTGATATGTCCCCAACATAGGGGTCAATACGGAAATAGGCATAATCTTCTGCAAACCCATATGTGACTGTTCCATTGGCTCCCAAATCCTTATCAGTGGCAGATACCTGAAAGAGGACATCCCCTGGTTCAGTGCCATCTTGGATGACTGTATAATAGGGCAGATGCTGAAACTCAGGGACATTGTCATTGACATCTTCAACAGAAACCCTGACCAGAGCCTGAGCCACCCGCTGAGGGACCCGGTTGTCCCTTACTTCCACTACCACTTCATGAGTGTCCTGCTGCTCCCGATCAAATAGCACCCCTCTGGTTTGCAACACACCTGCTGATTTGACCATATGAAATAAGTCTGTGCCATTCAAGAGGAAGTAGGAAAGGGTGTCATTCAAATGGTTTCCATGGACACCAAGAATCACCAGTGCCTTTTTGTGTGGTATATTCTCCTTCACTCTTGCCCTGTAGATGTCCTGATCAAACTGTAAGCTTTTGTCAAGGACTTTGGTCAAAGATATTTTTACCAATGCAGTATCTTGATACAGACCATCAGAAGCCTTAATGGTGAGCTTCCTAGAAAACCCCAGAACAGCAGGATTAACCACAGATATGTGGCCTGTGATGGGATGAATGGCAAAGGCTTCATCAGTGTTGCCTGTTTTAATGCTATAGATGACTTCTGAGTCATCATCCTTGGCCTGCACTGTGAGAAGCTTCATGCCAGGGTGGGTGGGTCCCACAACTGCCACTTCATATATCTGCTCTGAGAACCTGGGGGAAAAGTCATTCACATCTCGGACATGGATGATGACCTTGGCAGGTCTGGGTGCAAATAAGAGGGGTGTTCCTTGATCATGAACATAGACGTTGAATTGGAACAAGGGTGTGTTCTCATAATCCAGCTCTTCTGTGATAGTTAGGGTTCCCATGCTGGGGTCAATTTTGAAAAACTTCAAGGCCTCCGGTTCCAAGATTTTATAGACCAACAAGGAATTAGCTTCCTGGTCACTGTCAGAGGCACGGATCACTAAGGGGCTGTTGTCTTCATCTAGGATCATGCTGTGAGGAGGAGCTGCCTCACTGATGTGCCCCACAAAAGTTGACTTTAGGAATGCAGGAGCGTTGTCATTCTCATCGATGATGTAGACAAATGCCACCACCTCCGAGAACACACCAGCCGTGTTGCTGCCTCGGATTTTCAGTTGGTATGATGAGATTTTCTCATGGTCTAAGCGCTTCTGGGTGGAGATAAGGCCGGAATAGGAGTTCATGGAAAACACACCACCCTTGTTCCCCTCTCTTAACTCATAGGTGACTTCAGAGGAGCTTGTAGCAGAGATGAGGAGGATTGGGGAGCCAACAGGGACTGATTCTGGAATCTCTATGAAATACTCATCTTTTGAAAAGATGGGAGCACTGCTGTCGGAGGGGTGGACACGAATGACTACCATAGCCAGGTCATGCCTCCGTGGGGAGCCTTGGTCTTCTGCCTTCACAGTTAACATATGCTTAGTGTGATGAACATGATCTAGTTTCTGGGCTACTGTGATGGTGCCGAAGAGGGTGTCAATATTGAAGAAATCTTCACTGTTGCCTGAAACAGAGAACAGGACAAACTGAAGTTTACTACATTCTCAAGAGACACCAGCCAGGCTTCTTAGGTCAGTCAAGAGGCCATGGCACAAAACAGGGACAGGATAAAAGCTACATCTCAGTTGGCCTGTATTTAGTATATCATATATAGAGTAAATGCACACTACACAGTTCTGAATGCCATCCACTGCAGTTGCTTTCTAAATTGAACTGTCAGGATAAGAAAGTGTCTGAGATACAACTTACACTACAATCCAAATCTGTCACCAGTAAGTCTTTGAAGCCAAGAAAGAGGACTTGATATTTTGCAAGGAGACATGCTTGCCCCTGAACTTCACTTTTGTTTTGTAGGAAGAGCTTCAGTTGTATGGTAAGCATTCAAAGGCCACCTTTGAACTACTTTCAATAGCTCTGCCTACATACTTAAAGCATGGATCTGCAATCATGGAGTCAGGCTGCCAACACTGATGGGGACTTTAAAAGCCACTCTTCCCTTTATGGCCTCCCATTAGAAAGTCTCTCACCATGCTTGAAGAATAAATCAGGAGGTGGGTGGGGAAGAAATTCTCAGTAGCCAGACTAAGAGGCTCCTGTATCTGCACCTCCCACCACACCCATATCTCCTAATCTTGGCCGGGCTCACATCATCTTGATAATTTCTTTTCAATATTTAGCCTCTGGTCAATTATTTTATGATAGTGCTTCACAAACACTTTTCTTTAAATATATTCACTCCAGATTTGACATGTTTTTAGAAGGCAACTTCATACTGAACTTTTTAAAAAGAAAATCATTCAGGCTATAACCCAGATGGTTATCATAAAAACAACTCAATGAAAAAATTCATATTAAAGTCTATAAAAAAGATATTCCTTACTATAAAGTATTTGGCCTGATAACTATCTTCTGCCTTTGTTTAAACAAAACAAAACAATAACGACAACAAAAACCCAAGTGTTAGATATGGGCTGGGGATTCTCAAACCTAACTGAGGCTTGTAGCAGAATTTGATCAGGAAGTCTGAGTGGGAGCCAGAAATATGTGCTTCCTCCCTGCAAGATTACCTGAGTTACGGGGCTTGGTTTGGTCACCACCAGAAGCACAGGTCCCATGTGGAGACAGGGAGGCACCTCCCTTTCTTTATATCATATACACTTTATATGGCCAAATAACTGAGCTTTGTCATAAAACCTCCCAGATGACTCTTCCACTCTTCAGATCCTTCTCACAGGATGATAGGTGGCTACGGGGTGCATGAGTCAACAGCAGGCTTAGAAACCTCCATCAAATGTACCTAGGTTAGCCAGGCATGGTGGTGCATGCCCATAATCCCAGCACTTCAGAGATGAAGGCAGGAAGATGAGGAATTCAAGATCATCCTTGGCTACATAGTGAGTTTAAGAGCAACCAGGGAAACATGAGACCCTGTCTCAAAAATGAAACAAAATTAAAAAGTTCCTAAGTTAACTATCTAAATATAATTCTAGCTATTTCTTATATTATACTGTCAAGATAGAAAAGTCAAGGCACAAAATTATAGACTCATTATGATCTCAGCACTACCAAAGATGCTTGGGAAAGGTGGACAGGAAGTACATTGACTGTTATCTCTGGTATAGGCATTTAGGGCTGCACCTTATATTCTTCGTGCATTCCTGTATCTCCTGTGTTTTCAAAAATGAACATGAGTGGTTTCTATATTCCAAAGACTATTTAAAGCAAATATTTTAACATTTTATTGCATTTATTCATTTTGCATATGCATGACACTTGAAGGTCATTCATATGGTGGAGGTCACAAGATGACTTGTGGCAATCAGTTCTGTCTTTCCACCCTGTGGGTCCCAGGAAGTAAACTCAGGTCATCTGGTTTAAAGACAGTATCCTTACCCACTGAGCCATGCCACAAGCCTCTTAAAACTAATCTTTATCTATAGAATAAATCTCCATCACAAGGGATGCCAATGAGATGAATTGAGATAAACTATGTGATTATATTTCATAAATAGTGTTTACTTCAGAAATAAACAGTGAATGTGTCATAATTTGTATTCTTCTTTATAATGGTCTTCTGATATGTGGGTAACTACTTTTCCCAAAAAGGGTGTGCTAAAATCTCTGAGTTTTTGAAGATCCACTGAACTAGCAATATGCTCTGAGAGGGTAGTAAGTCTTGATCATCTTCCTCCTTCCATAGTGTTTACTTCTATGAAATATCATCATGAAAAATAATGATTGAAGTGTCATTAATTATGCATTTTATCTTATAAATGATCACTAGCAATTTATAGTATACTGGATATTATTACTTTGTCACATCACATGGATTTTTTTAGTGTGTCTATGTGTGTGTGTGTGTGTGTGTGTGTGTGTGTGTGTGTGTGTCTCGCGCACGCAGTGCCTACTGTGGCCAGAATAGGATTCCAGATCCCCTCTCTCCAGCTGGAATTATAGGTGAGAAGCCCTATGTGGGTAGACCCAAACCTGGATTCTCTACACAAACAATATGCCCACATTAACAAATGATTGATACTTCTCGGTGACAGTGAAACCCATGGCATTGGCACATTGTGTAAATTATGACACATACACATTTTTCTTTGGGTTCTTTCAGCAAGGGTGATATTCCAAGTTTTTTGTTTGTTTGTTTGTTTTGGTTTTGGTTTTGGTTTTGGTTTTGGTTTTGGTTTTTGGTTTTTGGTTTTTCAAGACAGGGTTTCGAGACAGTTAGCTTTGGAGCCTATCCTGGCACTCACTCTGGAGACCAGGCTGGCCTCGAACTCACAGAGATCTGCCTGCCTCTGCCTCCGGAGTGCTGGGATTAAAGGCATGCGCCACCAATGCCCGGTGATATTCCCAGTTTTTAAAGGTAGAAAATCATATAACAGATGCCAAGTCAATATGTGGTCTGAGCAGAAAATAAAAGTTTCTCCTAAAACAATGTCATGAACCTGATAAAGTACTTTTGCATCCCTTCTCAGACATGTGCACGAAGCCATTACATTCTAACACATTTACAGGCTCTATTAACACATTCTGTATGGTCACTGGTGGCTTGTATCATATTCACAAATTTCCCCATAACTTGAGAGCACCTTTGCTATTTTTACTACCGTTTTTGGAAGAACATTGACACATGGAATGTTCTACAATGGTCATCTGTAACTGCTTAGAGAGCTGGTACTTGAGTAATTTGTGGAGTTGTGCCTCTACTGCTGACCCTTATCCCAGACCCTTGTCTCATCCCTTAAGCTCAGAGCCAGGCCCTCACCTTTTAGAAAGGAATAATGGACTTCAGCATTGGCTCCCCGGTCAGCATCCATGGCTCGGACCTGCAGCAGCTCTGTGCCAGGGGCGGTGGTGTCAGGAACATTTGCCTCATAATGGAGCTGAGTGAAGTGAGGCGGGTGGAGATTTCCGTCCTCCACATGAATGGTCACCCACACGAAGTTCCTCTTGATGGGCATCTCTTGGTCTCGGACCTAACACAGGATTTAGCCAAGTGAGCAGCAAATAGAATTGAAGGGGGTAGGGTCAGAGTCAGGTCAAAGAGACAGAATGCCAATGACTACCTAATTTATGTGGATTCCCTTAAATCTTTCTCCAGTCTGTATTTTTTTTTTCTGAGACAGGGTTTTTCTGTGTAGCTTTGGAGCCTATCCTGGCACTCACTCTGGAGACCAGGCTGGCCTTGAACTCACAGAGATCCACCTGCCTCTGCCTCCCGAGTGCTGGGATTAAAGGCGTGTGCCACCAACGCCCGGCCAGTCTGTACTTTTATAGATGTCTCAGTTATTGCTTGTTTGATTTAGCTGTTTCTATAGATATTTCCATTTTAGGAGAAAGGTATAATAGGCAGAAACACAGCAGGTCTCAGACTATGAGCTCTTTTGTTTGTTGTCTGTTTTTCAATACATGCTTTCTCTGTGCAACAGCCCTGGCTGTCCTGGAACTCACTTTGTAGACCAGGATGGCCTTGAACTCACAGATATGCCTCGGCCTCCTGAATGTTGAGATTAAAGACATGCACCACCACCACCCAGCTTATCGGCTCTTTAGGATGCTAAGACATTAACGTGTTCTGTGGTCATGTAGATTTGGGAGGCAACTGAACTAAGTGAAGTCACGGGGCTTTCTTGGTGGTAGGAATTCTCAAATCCTTTGATGTACATACATTAATATCCCCAGAAGATGATAAATTAGCCTGTAAGAATCCTGACCCTGAGACAGGAGGTGAAATCCTCACTCCAGCTTCCCCAAAAATAACTGTGTGGTAGTTAGCAAACTTTTCTACCCCTGTGGGCTGCAGATATAGGTGAGAAGAATGGGCAGGGTCAGAGGGAAATATAAGTGGGGTAAGTGGGAAATGTATGGTGCAGAATTCAAGGAGGTTCTCACTCTCAGAGTCACAGAAAGCTAGGTGTCTGACCTAGACGGGGAGTCCTCCTTAAATGTTTCATCTAAAGGTTTGCTTGCTTGATTCTTGTCTCTGCCTTGGGCTACAGCATCGCTGGGTCCCGCCCAGATCTGACAATATTTGAATCTATAGCCATAACATCACAGGGTGGGCAAAGATCCGTTGCAGTTATTTGGGGTGAGTCCTTGCCAGCCCACCTTTCTACCTGCATCTTCACTTCAGGCATCCCACAGAGAGAGTACCTCTGGCCAGTTGTGAAATATTTCACCTCTGTCCCAGGGGTTATGTTATGAATGTCTATATATCTGCCCCATCAGGGACCAGCGTGTCACCACTCTACTTACATGCAAGCTCGTTGTGGTTTGAATGTGAAATGACCCCACAGGCTCAAATGTTTGAATACTCCGTACCTAGACTGGGAAGGTTGTGAAAGCTTTAGGTGGTGAAGGCGTGTTGGAGGAAGTGGGCTGTTGTGGGTGGGTCTTGAAGCTTTACAGCTTGGCCTCACTTCCTGTTCACCCTCTGCTTCCTGATGCAGATGCTATGTGGCTAGCCAGCCTCCTGCTTCTGTTGCCTGCCTCCCCTGCCTGCTGTCATGTCTTCTTTACTATGATGGACTGAATCTTCTAGAACTTTCTCTTTTAGGTTGCTTTTGTTAAGATATTTCATTACAGCAAGGAGAAAGCAACTAAGATTCCAGTCCTCATCTGTTCCTGTGTTTACTCACCATAACCACCAGAATGTGCTGAGAAGGCTGGGAGTGAAGGTCCAGTCTCCCCACTGTCACCAACACGCCACTGCTCGGATCCAGCTGGAAGAGGCTGGCACTTCCAGGGTCCTGGCTGCTGTGGATGGTATAGATGAGGCCTTTGCCATTGTCTTGATCTGCGGCCTGGACTCTGAGGAGTTCAACCCCAGGCAGTGTGTCCTGCGGGACCCTGACTTGATAGTGATCCTGCAGGAACTGAGGCCGGTGGTGGTTGATGTTAGCAATCATAAAGATGTGGACCTGAATAGGGGGACAGGAGACGAAGAAGCCGATTGTGGACTGCATAGGCACAGGGCTGGTGCCTGCTGGGACTTCACTGTCCCATCCATGTTGGCAGTGTCTGGCAAGCAGCCGCCATTCTATTCAGTAAATAGCTATTGAAGGTGTGATAGGATTTCAAAATAACAAGACTCCAGATACCAAATTGCCTAGTAGATTTTGTTTGTTTGTTTGGTTGGTTGGTTGGTTGGTTTATTAAGACAGGGTTTCTCTGTGTAACAGTCCTGGCTGCCCTGGGACTTACTTTGTAGACTAGGTTGGCCTCAAACTCACAGAGATCCACCTGCCTCTGTCTCCCAAGTACTGGGATTAAAGGTGTGTTACGCTATAGCGGGTGCCTAGTAGATTTTTTTTTTGAGACAGGGTTTCTCTGTGCAGCCCTGGCTGTCCTGGAATTTGCTCTGTAGATCAGGCTAGCCTCAAACTCAGAAATCTTCCTGCCTCTGCCTCCTGAATGTTGGGATTAAAGGCATGTGCCACCGGATCCAGCTTGCTACTAATTTAAAAGATACCTATATTTAAACTGGACATGGTGGTGCTCACAGGTAAATCCAGTAGATGGGAGTCTGAAGCAGAATTACCATGAGTTTGAGGCCATCTTGAGCTACTTGGTGAGTTTCAGGCCAACCTGGGCTTGAGAGAAAGTCCCGGTGATGGTTAGTGTTAACTGTCAACTTGGCTCAAACTAGAATACCACTGGAAGGGAGTCTCAAGGAGATGTTTCCAGACTAAATTGGCTTGTAGACATGTCTTTGAGGGATTATCTCGATTATATCAGTTGAGGTAGGACGACCAACCCAATATAGCACGATGCCCTAGGCAAGGGATCCTGGACTGTGTAATAGTAGAGAAAGCAAGCAAATACTAGCATTCGAGTGTTAATTAATTGCTTTCTTCTCTTGAGTTGGATAGAATGTGACCAGCTGCTTTAAAGTTCCTGCACTGGAGAGCTATAACCTGGACCTGGGAGCCAAATCAACCCCATCTTTCTTAAGTTCCTTTTGTCAGGGTATCTTAGCACAGCCACAAGAAGAGACCCTGTCTCAAAAAAACAAAACCAAACAGAACAATTTCATTGGGCTATTTCTTCAAGCAAAATGTCTAAAATCCCTGCATATGAAATGGCTTTATTCTACAGTGGTCAGAGTAGAAGCTGAAAGTCCCATGACCTGTCATTCCTCATACCCACTGTAGCTCTTATGCAGACTGTCTTTAATTAAATCTGTTTGTTTGCATAAATCCTCCCAATATATGGAGATATAGAATGCTGGGGGGATTCTCCCACAACCACAGTAATGGAGTATGTATCAAGTAAGACTGGTACCCAGAACCCAGATTCCAACTTTTTTGAGGAATCACATATCAATCAAAAGCCTTCAATAACCATACTCCAAGTTCACTTCTCATTTCCTCCCAAACCAGGAGTTCTTGACTAAGGTCTCTCACCTGGGTGGCAATGGTGTGGAACCCATCTGTCACCTCCACAGTCAAGTTATAGCTTGACTTTCTCCTTGTATCAAGAGGCCTGGCTATGACAATGCTGCCTGTGGTCTTCTCAATGTCAAAGTCCATGTCTTTATCCCCATCTGGAGGAGGGAAGGAGCAGATATGGCATCAGCGACTTAGGCAGCTGTAGCCTAACCCGAATTTGGTCACAAACCTAGAGCACATGATAAATGTAACCTTAGCTGACTTTGGCTGGCAAGACTGTGGCTATCTGAGGAAGAGGCTGAACCAGAGAGTCTAAGACTATTTGGGAATAGTAGCTATCTAGTGACAGACTGGTGCTTATTTCCTTAGGTGACCAAAAAGATGTTACATTATCGGCCCAATTATCAAATGATCTAGAGAAAAGCAAGTCTGAGGGGTCGAAGAGTCCTGTAGGAAAAACAAAAGCTGCTATAGAATTTATTCTGTTTCTGGGATTGTTATGGCTTGAACATATAGTGTGCCCCATGACTCATGACTTGAATGCCTGGTCCTCAGGTGGTGGCACTCTTTTGGGAGGGTGTGAAAACTCAGGAGATGGGTCCTTGAGGGAACCCCTGAGGACTTATTGTCTCACTCTCCATGATGCTTCCTGGTCATCCATAAAGTGAACAGCAGCCCTGAACCACACATTCTTGCTGCCATGATGGTCTGCCTGAGCACATGGGTCCATGCCACCCTGGGCTGAAGACTCTGAAGCTGTGAGCCAAAATAATTCCTTCCTCTTGAGATTTTATCACAACAGGAAAGTCACTAACACGGGGATTAAGACACAGAGACAATGAAGCCAGACTTCATAGCTTTGTATTGGACTGAGAAAACTGCCTGTGACAGACACGGGACAAGTAAAAACAAGTCTGACCAACAAGAAGAAATTGATTTTTTTTTTAAAAAAAAAAAAATCCAGATGGAAAGGTTTAAGGAGTGGAACAGAAAGATAGGATATAAACGGGTTCAGGGTTAGATAACAACTAAACATGAATGAAATGCCAGGAGGGCTGGAGAGATGGCTCAGCACTTCAGCGGTCTTGCTGCTCTTCCAGAGGACCCAAGTTTACTTCCCAGCATTCACGTTGAATACCTTACAAGTATCCATAACTCCAGCCCCACAGTTCAGAGGTCAAATGGCTTCTGCAAGCACCCATACTCACCTGGCACATCTACAAATATATACACACATCCACATCATTAACAGTTAGAAGATTTTTTAAAGGTTAAGAAAATGTCATAAATAAACAAAATATTTTTAAAAAGGACATGAAGTTGCAATGAATAAAATTCAAAATATTAAAGATAACATGAGTAAATAAATTATAGAGCAGCATGGAATTCTTTAAATGTCTTCTAAACAGAATTCTGTTTAGTTATGTAAAACTATGTTCACAATGTATTACAGCTAAAATATAAAGTAATATTTTAATATAGCCCTATGTGTGTTCATAAAGAAACACATCAAAATTATAGCAGTAGATTATATTCAGATTGGTAGAACTTTCAGTGGTATTTGTTTTCTTTGCACACATTTCTGTTTCCTAAATGTTATTTTGATTCATGCATTAATTACATATTGAAGGGGAAAAAACCCCAAACAATTAAAAGAGCTGAGAATAAGAACTGGAAGCAAGACTAAGAAGATGTCAAAGGTCTTGGGCCAAGTGAGTATCCTACCCTGCCTCTGACTGAAGCTGAACCCCACCGCAATAGGACCCATAGTCCATGCAAGTGCTGAAATGGAGATCTTCAAATTTAAATCTCTGGACAGATATCAGAAAGTCTAAAACACCTCTACATTTATATGCAGATTGACATCTGAGAATGTGCCCATGTATACACAAGTTCCTGGAAAGGAAACCTAAGCATTCCTCAATTTCCTAAAGGGTTCTATTACTTCCAGGTGTTTTTCTTTTTTTTTTTTTCCTTAAACACACAAACATCCCCCTCAAAAAACAAAACGAAAAACAAAACAACAACAACAAAAAAACCTTGACAGAAAGGAATGCTAGAGCAGAGTCACCCACCAAAGCATGGATCCAAGAGCCATTTAAAATGACAATGAGAGTGGATATGGATCATTGACAGAGAATAGAGTCTTGGATTCAAATTCATACAGACACACAAATAAGAATGGCTCAGCCAATACAGTCAGTTCTGTACTGACTTGGTGCTTTCTCTTCTGAATCTTGCTGGACTGTTCACTTTAGATCTCGTGGGCATTTGGCATAACTAGGCTCCCCCATAGGATCACAGATGGTCCACCTGAGGTCTTGGCTATAGTGGAAGAGGCTTAGCAGATGTGTTGTTCTTTCTACACAATGTCCCAGAGGATCAGGGAAGAGGTGATCCCCACTCAGAACAAAAGGAGGAGCTGTCAGGGGGCATGACCTCGAGGGGGAGAGAATATTATACCAGGAGGAATATTTAAAAAAGAGGGATTCGTCCTCCTTGGTCCTCACCTGAGATGTGGAACCAGAAGAGGCCAGGCCGTCCCTCTACACTGACGACTCCCACCATGTGGTTCACAGGGTCCGTCTCCATGACCGTAAAGCTGTAGTGGGGCTCATCAAAGGACAGTGGAATGGAGGATGGCCGAGGCTGGGGAATCCATTCAATGTGTAGCCGGACACTGGTGGAGAGGGCTGGCTGCCCACTGTCTGTTGCCTTGATCTAAGAAGACACCAAAAGCCAAGTTGAGTCACCATGAAAGTGGCCTTCCACTTGCTCACTCCTCTATTGGGCACATGCTTGAATGGCAATGATAGAAAAGAGCTCTATTAGTTACTAGGCAAAAACATC